TGTGTGTGTGTGTGTCTGTGTCTCTGTGTGTGTCTCTTGTGTGTGTGTGTGTGTGTGTCTGTGTGTGTGTGTCTGTGTGTGTGTCTCTGTGTGTGTGTGTGTGTGTGTGTGTGTGTGTGTGTGTGTGTGTGTGTGTGTGTGTGTGTGTGTGTGTGTGTGTGTGTGTGTGTGTGTGTGTGTGTGTGTGTGTGTCTGTCTCTCTATCTCTGTGTGTGTCTTTGTGTGTGTGTCTGTGTGTGTGTGTGTGTGTGTGTGTGTGTGTGTGTGTGTGTGTGTGTGTGTGTGTGTGTGTGTGTGTGTGTGTGTGTGTGTGTGTCTGTGTGTGTGTGTCTGTGTGTGTGTTGTGTGTGTCTGTGTGTGTGTGTCTGTGTGTGTGTCTCTGTGTGTGTCTGTGTGTGTGTGTGTGTGTGTGTGTGTGTGTGTGTGTGTGTGTGTGTGTGTGTGTGTCTGTCTCTCTCTCTGTGTGTGTAATGTAATTGCAGCGTAGAGTTCACAGATCACTGAACTAAGAAGATGGGAACCATGAGAACGGTGTAGTAAACTCAAGATAAAGAAACAAATGAATGTTGTATATCTACTAAACAATATTCCTAATTCAATTAAACCAAGATCTAGAAAACGGTTCCTCACAAAGAAACCCTACGAGTCCAGAGTTGTTGTTGTTTTGGGCAATGTGTCATTGTATTTAGCTAATTATTATAAAAATGTATTACACTGTTATGCACAGACTACTGACGTTAGCAAGCCTCCCACTAGAAAGGATAACTTCGTTTTAAAGGTGTTTCCTGTGAATATATGACCAATTGTTGTGGACAAAACGGCTTCTGAGGAATTAGAATTTATAGCTTCTGGTGGAATTTAGAATACAATGGCTTTGTTTCATGGTGTTACATTATTAAACACAATTATTTGGAGGAATAAAAGACATTGATAGGCTGGCCAGATCAGTAGTAACGTCCCAGAAAAAGCCTGGAGACCTTCAGCGTGTTAGTCATTCAACAAGATTTAATTTAAAGTGGACCTATCATGCTATATTTGAATAATATAGTGTAGGACCATACCTATATAAGGCATATTTATACTTTTTATTTTTCAAAATACCAAACAGATCATGCATTTTAGCCATTCCTCATTTCTCTCAATTTAACACTGTCTTTGCATCATGGGCTGATTCTGTGAGAACAGCACCATCTACAGGCCTGGTATATGTACTACAGCGTCTCCAGCGCTTTCCAACGGCAATGTCCGTCGCTGTCTCCTCCTGATTGGTGGAGTTGGCTCAATAGCCGTAGCGCCACTTCTGTGACGTCATAGAAGTGTTCAAATCTGGATCAGTCTGTATCAGATCCGTTGCAGCCCCTTTTTAAGAGATTTGGGTATGGAGGAAAATAGAGAGGGTTGTGTTTTCTGACACTTGGTGAGTTCCCTGGAACACCGGGGACACATATTCATGTAGAGAAGACGTACAAAAGTGCATTTTGCATGATAGGTCCCCTTTAAATAAGTCCGTCCATAGGAAATGTGTTATATCAGTGTGTGTGTGTGAGTGTGTGTGTGTGGGCCCTCAGGACTTGTTTAAACTGGCAGCCTGTTTGTATTGTGGTTGTCATTGATTATATAGACAATGATGTTGCTTTAATTGCATCTATGAAAATGTATCCTGACAGCATGACTATGCTAGTATGTGTGTATGTGTGTGTGTGTGTGCGTGCGTGCGTGCGTGCGTGCGTGCGTGCGTGCGTGCGTGCGTGCGTGTGT